ATTTCTTTTGTGTAAATCATAATTAAGTATACAGTTGTATCTATAACGATTATATTTAAAGTACATTCATGTACAATTGTAAGAAACATTTTGAAGTAAGTCGTAAAATTTCTTTTGACAATATCAATAAAATATATCTTTATCTTTTGATAAACGAAAGGGATTAATTTTAAGTGGTACATTGCCAAAGTAAAATATATAACTATTGCACATAGGTAAGTTTTAAGGATCAAGCATACGTGTATCCCCAAAAGATGAATATATTGTTCTCTCTGATGGTGAGACAAACTTTTTTCTTATACATTTGTACATGTAGTTGAGTATGGGAGTTGTTTCTTTAAGGAATGGATAAAGAGAAAACACTTGACCTTTGAATTACCCACCCTACTTATATGACGTAAGTTTGCAGCTGTTCTCAATAGCCCAAATTCAAAGGATGACAGGACTCAAGGAGAAGCGAAAATTGCGTCAAAGTAAAATAATAAGACATTTTTCTTGTAATTGCAGTGTGGCAACGCACTTTGAAAAAAAAATTCAAAGTGCGTTAAAATTGGGACAAAATCAACGCATATAAAAAAATGAAATAAGGTTAAGATTTAATAGCAACAAAAGCGTCAAAAAAAAAACTGAAAACACGGCATTAAGTGCAGTCATCATTTTACTATTCAGACTTACCTGTACTCATAAATCCTCCAATTTTGCAATTTAAATTTGGTTTCTAAATCTCACGCTGCCTACGGATAGAGTGAAATTTACATGGAACCCTAATTGGCATGGGAATTAACTTTTTTTTTTAAATTTACCAGAGATTCAGAAAGAAATGAAATATACATGACATCTTATTATCATTATGGGAGCTAGGAGCTGATTTTCATTGAGCTGATTTTGATTGGATAGTGTCACAAATCATTTAGAGAACTCGACAGGTTCTGTATCGAAGATACAAATTTTGGGGGCGGAGACTCGTGCTAATTCAAATTTTACCGTAGTATTGTATAACTGCACCTATGTTAAAGAAAATAATTTAGAAACAGTGATTCGATACATAGAAATCTTCCGACTACGTTTTGTTATGGAATTCAGTGTTCTAGCTACGGTACTCGTTATAAACACACCAATAACAAGTAATAATGAAACTTTCTCTGTGTCTTATTCATCAGAATTTAATCGACGCCATGAAGTAAGAGAATTTCAATTGGAAAGAGGCACTTCCTTTACAAGACAGCAAAAAGTGTCGCTAGGAATATCAGTTATTGTTTTGAATGGCCCCTTTTACATTTTTGCAACCATTTTGCTATTTGATGATTCCATTTTTAAAAGCATTTTTTATGTATGGTTGTATTGTTTGATAGGAACAAAATTGGTGTCATTTATACTTATCCTGGTCATTTTCTATGTATTGCAAGAAGAAGTTGTGATTCTGCCCAGAAGATATCGACTAGATTTAAATGATGTTGCTCTAATTGCAAGTTGCTTTGCCATCACCGCAACAGGAATAGTATTTCTAATGTGGTTCATGTGATTTATCAAACAATACTGATTTTATTTCTTAAATCCATCCCAATTTGGAGACGGAGTCTGAAATGGCTCACGAATTTAAAAGTAGCCATTGCTGTTCTCATAAGTTTTAACATTACGCATTGGTTGAAAGACTTCTTGTTTTTTCTTGGGTATATAGAGATCGCCACATCAAAACAGTTGTTTAAATCTCTATTTTACATCTTTTATCCATTTCAATCCTTTTACAGGTTTCAATGTGCTATGGAACTTATAAATTTTTACTTAAATTTGTGACCATTTGACTATTCTTAAATTATAGGTTTACCCAGATTATTCTTAAATTAGGTTTACCCAAGCATGTGTTTCACGTTTCGGGAAATATTTTCATTTTCAAAATTATAATGAAACATAAAGAGCAGATATTTCCGAGTTGAATATACTTCTAGATTCTTTTGTGTCAAAAGTCATTAGAATTCCCCCTTTCATTTGCATTCTACTACTGGAAACAGCAAGGATAAATGCAGGACTATCTTCGGGAGGTGGGGGATGGTAGAAATACATATACTACATACTCAGTAGTCATTTTGTTGAAAGAGCAGAAAGGAAGGGGCGTGCAAAGGAGAGAGAGGGTGTTAAAGTGAAATTTAGTGTGAAATTGTTTGTATAATTAATGCTTGATTTATATTATCTTAATCTTGTTGATTTGTAGTAATTACTCTAAGCTACAGACTGCAGTGATCTGTTTATGTGATAAGGTCTTGACCGCTCATTAAGATTTGGCTGGGAAATTTAGCTCTTGTATCAGCATTGCTGACTTTTATCACCCGAGTCTCAGGGGGATTGAATGTCTGAAGTGCTGGCCATGAGAAAATGCAGAATTCATAGTGTTCAAAATTAACGGGTTAATTTAGCAGTGATTGGCAGTCTGTAGTTTGGGCAGTTCTTAATATTTAGCGTAGAATTTGTGTGTTCAATTAGTTACTCAGTCGGGTCCTGTGTGTAAAGTGTTACACGGGAATACAAAATAAACTTTGTTGGAAACTTTGGGCGTTTTTATTTAAAAACAGAAAGTTTCGGTGTAACATTTTAAGTGGTGGCAGCGGTAAAGGATCCTAATTAAATGTGAAATATTGTTTGAAATTTTATACATATATTTGGATTTAACAAGCGGAATTAAAATGCCTAGGAAACAGGACTTGGAATTTCAACTTTCTAAACAAAAACGGGAACATGAATTACGTTTAAAAACACTTGAATTGGAACATGAAAAAGAAATTTTGGAATTACGTGTTCAGCTAGAGAAGGCCAATTCAACGCCAGGAGCACATTCGACAGGAATGCCAAAAATTAAACTTCAACCATTTAATCAGGAAAAGGATGACATTTTGTGCTATCTCTCTGAATTTGATGCGGTAGCTGAGCATGCAGGTTGGACTGAGAACTCAAAGGCTTTACAGCTTAGGTCACTTTTAACCGGAGAAGCTCGAGAAGTGTCGCAGCAAGTGACTTCAGGATACAGAGATCTGTATAAGGCTCTTTTGAATCGATTCGGCAAGCGCCCAGCAGACTACTTTCAGTTCCTGGAGGAAATTAAACGTAGACCAGGAGAAACTTACAGAGGATTAATGTCGAGAATAGATCTGTATTTGAGTCGTTTCATTGATGAGAAAGATCCCGTACAAAAGTTCCGCGAAGAGTATTTCTTAAAGGCGTTATCTCCTCAACAAGCCCAGTGGATTAGACGGAATAAGGGAAGTAGTGAGTTAGTTGAAGCTGCTGAGGATTACATTCTACCAACAAAATCGGCCGAGGACAGGAAACTTCAAAATCCTAAAGTGTTAGGTGAGAAGAAGAGCCAGGAACAGGGGAACTCCGGAAAGCAGAAAAGTTTGGAAAAAGTGAAATGTTTTAGCTGTGGGAACTTTGGACATTATGCAAACAAATGCCCAAAGAAAGGTAATCTAGCGTCGTGTTTCGTGAAAGGAGCATTATGGGGTTTACATTATGTTCCGGGGAAAGTGGATGATGTGGAAGTGTCAATGGTCAAGGACACTGGAACATCTATGACGCTATTGCGGGAGGATCTTGTTGATCCAAAATGTGTTCTACATGGACAAACTACTTCCTTGGTTACAGCTATTGGACAGCCATTCGAGGCTAAGTTAGCAGTGGTTAACCTGGAAACACCAATGTTTAAGGGACATGTTCAGGTAGGTTTAGTACCTGATCTGGTTGCAGATGGTTTATTGGGAATAGATGTTCTGGAGAGGAACAAAGTTGCAGCTGTGGTTACAAGAGCCAAAGCAAAAGAACAAGAACAAAATGAATTAAGTGCCAAAAATCGCATGAATAAATGTGATGTCGAACCAAGGGACTTAAATGTCGTGGTAACTAAGGATGAGGCTGATGAAGTGAACCTTGATTTACCGGAAACTACATTACTGGCAGCAACAGAAAATGAAATTGGAATTGAGCAGGAATTTCCTAACGACGCCACAGAAACCATTTCAGATCTTGTCTTTGGACATGGGCTGACACAAATGCAGAGACAGAGTTTAAGGGATGTCTGTCAGAAATTTTCAAGAATTTTCACATCAAAGCCGGGAAAGTGTGATGTTATCTCACATACAATCAAAACAACGTCTGAGAATCCAATTACTCAGAGACCTTACAGGATACCGGAAGCTAAGAAACAGGAAGTTAAGGAGTCTTTGAATGAAATGTTAGAACAAGGACTTATTACACCATCCAAAAGTCCGTGGGCCTCACCAATTGTCCTTGTCAACAAGCCTGATGGGACAATTAGAATATGTGTTGATTATAGAAAATTGAATGAAATAACTCTCATGGACCCTTATCCCATTCCACGCATGAGTGATATATTTGAGAAAATTGGAAGTGCAAAATATTTGAGTAGATTTGATCTAACAAAAGGCTACTGGCAAGTTCCTCTGGCAAAGGAAACACGCGAGAAATCCGCCTTCATCACCCCATTTGGCCTTTTCGAGTTTACAGTGATGCCGTTTGGTATGAAGACGTCTCCAGCTTCATTCATAAGACTTATGGATCGTATTTTAGATGGAACTCAAAATACTGTTGCGTACTTTGATGACATAATTGTCTACAGTCAGACGTGGGAAGACCATATCGAATATGTAACAGAGTTACTTCAGCGTATTCATGAGGCCAATCTTACCATCAGACCATCAAAATGTAAGTTGGGAGCAACAGAAATCGTCTGTTTGGGACATATGGTTGGAGGGGGATCAATTCGACCAGACCCTCGGAAATTGAAGGCCATGGAGGATTTTCCGCTTCCCTTGACAAAGAAAGAATTAAGATCATTCTTGGGGCTAACTGGATACTATCGCCAGTATATAGGAAATTAACGTATCGCCAGCTGTCAATCACAACAAATTTTCAACCAATGAAATAATTTCGTTTATTCTGCGCGTTCAGTAAAAACTTGCTCCGCCATATGCTCCGACAAACACACTCAGTGGGTTGAGTGGTCGCCAATAAACAAATTGAACAAATAAGTCTATGATGGTTAAAAATATACAGTTGGGGAACGTGCAATACCGATGACAGGTATCCCGAAAGGGAATTATGGATGTTTCGGGACCGCCATGCTTTGGGACGCCGACGTTTCGTGACCTGACAACACATTTCGGGACTTGGGTTTACACGTTTTGGGACTTCTAAATATTTTGGTCAGGAAATGAAATAAAACTCGTTTACTTGTTTGTTATGTTTATACATGTATACTTTCTTAGTTCAATACACACGAAAAAAAAAACGGTATAAATCCATATACACGGTTGGAGATTCATTTGACAGACTGTCTTCGCGTTAAGAATATAAAAATAATATGAATAATAGTATATATATCTATGTGTGATAGATAATTATGCTTAATCAGTCCATAACACTTCTACGTACTTGCATGTTTTACCCTCAAAATAATTGTCAAAATACATACATATTTTAAAAGAAAACTATACGCTTTTTGAGTTTAATTTCATATTAATTTTATCGCACGGTGTTGACTTGTGTCTGAAAGTTACCAGTTTTTATAACTAGTTATAATTGTATATGCAAGATTGAGTTTACAAACTTTTTCACTTTTTCAAAAAAAAATTAAATTCGATTTAATCTACCCATTAAAAATGATTCTATTTTATCGCTAAAAATTAACTTTTAATTACCCCCCCCCCCCCACCTCCCACCTATTACTAGCATTATTTAATATATTAAGAACACCATCATGTATTGGCAAAATATCGAAATTATTTAATTACTTCATTTTTTATATAAAGACATACATTGCCATTACCGGTATTATAATCAATATAGTGTATCTGCAACGAATTAGTCCGACTTTGTTATATGAGATTTGTCCCAGAAAAACACGAACTTTGTATATTAGATTTGTTTACATAATATATATCTGACCAAAATTATTCAAAATCTTCATGCACTACTAACTATTATTGCTAAAAAGTGTGCACATTTTCCACCATTTTTTTTCCAGAGTCAATATTATCGCAGCCCGAGAGATTTATAGAACGACCATTTGATTCGGGAAGGGGAGAGGGGCTTGCAATATTTTTTCCAAGTCAGATTATTTATTGTCATGTCGGTAAAGGACGGATTATTTATTCCCAAAGACAGATTATTTATTCTCCGCTTCACTGAAAAAGTCTAACAAGCAAAAAAAAAAAAAAACAACCCAAGGGGGGGGGGGGGTTGAGGAGATTATTTATTTCCAAACCGATTCAACTCTTTTATCAGCCAGACATTCCCTTCAGACAACCCAAGATTATTGTGGAGGTGGTGATTTAATAAAATTATTACATTACAAATTGAATTAAAGGTCGTTGTTGTAATTTATCATTTACCCAGATTTGCATTTTTCTGTCTTCCTTCCAGTTGAGGAAAGATTATTTATTTTCAACCTCTCTATTCAACTCCTTTATCAGCCAGACAACCCCCTTCAGAATCAATATGATCGTCCCCTTATAGATTAGGAACTAAAAGCATGTCTTGACAATGTCGTATGGGTTTTGTATATTAAAATTTATGTGCTGATTTAATAAAATTATTACAAATTAATTTATCAAATTGAATTAATTGTAAATATTACTTTTATTTTGTGCATAAAACACGCAATGTGCTCGTCGATGTCTTCGTCTGACATGGATGTTTGCGCGAGTTCTAAAATTTTCGGCCAAATCTGCCAAGGGTTGTAGAGTAACTCCCTTGGACTTTATCATGCTTCGATAAACTTTCCGAGAAAGGGATAATACGGAATCATTTTTTAATATTTCAAGTGAATGAAATTTATGAAAGCTTTTGTAAAAGCATTTGCCCTTCGTTTTGTCTCAAAGTGGGTTCGTGTGGCAAATATTTTGCAGCAAAATCATCAGGAACTTCGGACAAGTCAACCGGCGTCGACTTTTACTGAGTTACACGCTATGTTGATGATGTCGGAGCATCATAGGAGTTATCTCCCATAGCGCGATGGGCGGAGTTTGGCGATACGTTAATTATGCGGACATAACTGTACCACTGACTGATCTACTGAGAAAAAGTCAACCCGCAGAATTAAAATGGACGGAGAGGGAAGTGCAGTCATTCAAGAAACTGAAGGAGGCCCTGATGACAGCTCCTGTTTTGGTCAATCCGAATTTCAATTTACCGTTTGTACTACAAACAGATGCGAGTAATAACGCAATTGGGGCTGTCCTGAGCCAACAGTTGCCAGATGGTGATCACCCAGTTGCTTACCTTAGTAAGAAGTTACTTCCAAGGGAAAAGAACTATTCAACGATAGAGAAGGAATTATTAGCTATCGTTTGGGCCATTGGATCGTTCTTGTATTACCTAGAGGGGAGGAAGTTTTACGTAGAAACAGATCACAATCCACTAACATGGTTGCATCGCTTGAAGAATAAAAATCAGAGACTTTTACGTTGGGCCCTCGCACTACAGTCGTACACCTTTGAAGTTAGATATAAGAGAGGAAGCAAAAACACAAATGCGGACGGATTATCAAGAATCTGAAATGTGAAATGTGTTTGTGAATTATGGGCAAATTTTGTGAAAATTTTATATTCATAAAATTCAAGTGCATTCAGTTTGGATTTACAGTGAAATTCATTTTGGATTTATATTATTCTTTTGATGATTAATTGCTATTAACTGTTTAATACTTATTTGGACTGGCTAAAGTGAATTTAGTGACTGGTTAAATTTAATGTTGCTATATAAAGAATTATGAACTTGGAAAAAATTCAACTATTGACAGTTAAATTTTTATCTTTGGAAGGGAGGTGTTAAAGTGAAATTTAGTGTGAAATTGTTTGTATAATTAATGCTTGATTTATATTATCTTAATCTTGTTGATTTGTAGTAATTACTCTAAGCTACAGACTGCAGTGATCTGTTTATGTGATAAGGTCTTGACCGCTCATTAAGATTTGGCTGGGAAATTTAGCTCTTGTATCAGCATTGCTGACTTTTATCACCCGAGTCTCAGGGGGATTGAATGTCTGAAGTGCTG